CCCCAAAACCCCAAAACCCCAAAACCCCAAAACCCCATCTTGTAGCAGCTTTATAGAATTTTATAGGTTTTGTATAGATGGAGGGCATGGGCAATTGGGGACAGTGGTCTTAGGGCAGATAGTAGAGTTTCTCCTTAACCCTTTGAAATCAACAGGAAGAAGTTTTAAATTGTTCTTCCTACTTCTGTGCTTTCTCTTCGATAATTTGTCCATCAGTCTTCTAGCTGGACTTCAATCATTTGTATTTGGATTTGAAAACGTACTATTTATGGAAAGGCTTGTTTGAAGTCTTGTGTACAGGCATAATTAGAGGTTCTACATAAGTTTTACTAGTAGCTTGGAATATTTTTTCTGAACATAAGTCCTTTTTCTGAGCTATCTTGCTCAAACCTAAGAACATTAACATTTAAAACACACTTTTCTCAGGGCTCTTAAGTAACCCAGAATCTGTTTTCTTCATGATTTTAAACAGAGATCTCTTGGCTTTCTTTGATGACTTCCTCTTCAAAGATTTTGGCTTTATCAACTTCAGAATGGACTTAGCTAAAAATCTCTTGGAAGGCTTATTTCTATTAACGATCTTTAACTTGCTCTTTTTAGGCTTAAGGTTTTTCCTGACCTCCGAGATACATTCAGAAATGCTCAATTTACTCTCAGTATGAGAAGAGGTTCCTCTCTAAAATATTATGACTTGGAATTCACCCATGAATGTTTTATTCGTTCGTTATCTGTCTTAGGAGTTTCCTCCTGGAACCTCACTGTAGTCATCACTGGATCCTTCTTCGGAGTCTCATTTTGTAGATCAGAGGATTTAGTATTTGAACTAACAGAAGTCGGTGAGGACACAACGGTTCTGAACAAGTCTTGAGCCTCGGGTTTCTTCAATTCTTTGCTCATATTGTCTGCCTTAAGGGTGTAGTAGAACCCTTCAAAGTCAAACCATGAGGGAGAGTCATTAAATCTTCTGAAATGATTGTTTAAGGAGTTATTGGCATTAGATATCGGGTTTTGAGATACTGCTGGATGTGAATGAGTCTTTAAGAGAAGCTCCAATAACTCCCGCCTTGAAAGAGTACTTATCTTAGAAAATGTGTCTAGTTTCGATGGTTAAAGGTAAGAATTAAGAGGATAATGACGATTCTGGTTAAATCTGAAAGTTTCTTGCTGAGGTTGGCAGGGGAAATATGGGATAAACAGTAATATACAATTACCAATTCATAATATTGGCACTTTTAATGATTTACTGAGATTCATCGTAATGGATCATTCGTTCATGTTGCCATAAATTATGCGTCAGGAGAGCTTTTAATGTAATATTTTTAGTCTAATCTACAATGAACCTTTCCTTAAGACTATGACTCAGCATCTTGCCCTTTTCAAACAAAATTTCTCCCATGAATGAGGATTGATAGATAGAGGATAAATTTAGGGAGAAATTAGCATTAAGCCAACTCAAAGTTGAATTCTCAACTAGAAAGAGTTTACTACATGCTAAGGAGAATTATAGCTTTAATTGGGCATTATGGTATTAAAACTCCTTCAGTTTCAAGCTAACTTATTATTTAGTTCCAAAAGTAGAGGAGAATAACTTGATGGAATCCACTAGACTTTACCTCAGAATGATGGTTTCCTCCCAATATCCAGCTCTGCTATCTCTATGAACACTTTGGTTTATTTTCTGATGCGTTTTCATGATTTCTTTGGATAACTTTTGTCAGGTTACTCAGATTTTGTACACCATGATAAGCTTTCCTCCTTAAAATACCAATTTTCTTTTGCTTAATCATGTCCTTCTGTTTAGCTAATCGGGTTAATGAACCTGTTGCATGATGATTTTGTGTCTTATTCAAGCCGGATGTCCTACAGAGAATTACAAATATAGGTACTTATTTCTGATGAAAATTTTTCTCCGTTCATGGTCTTTCTTTCTACTCATTTTATACATTCGGTTCATGTATGTGAGGAAGTCCACTGACTCCTCTCTACGTGTTACCCTAAGAGCTTACTTCTCTATGTCGTAATACATCTTCTTATTTGATCTGATTTAACTGTCCTGAGATGTAGTCTTGGTTTAAAGGTGAAGCCAGTTGACTCGAACTTTGGTTATCCAGGTTTAGAGTAATTTCCTATTTGTTAAATCTTTAGAGTACCTGATTCTTCCGAGGACTGGTTTCAAGCCCAGCTCTTGGCCTGAATCCACTGATAATTTTCTATAAGTATTAGTTAAATTGTTTTAGAAGTTGAAGAAATATTGACAGGTTACTTTCAAGTTCATTGGGTTTTGCTGATCCATTTTCTATATATTATTACTCAAGTCTATGCTAATAAGTTGGGGTTTTGGGGTTTTGGGGTTTTGGGG